TTCTTTGGGCTGGGCCGAGTCATGATGGAAGGAGGTCTTCAACTCTAGGCCCAGATTGAGGTTACCGCCAATTTCAAAAAAAAAAAAAAAGAAAAATTGACGAGCATTTTAAGAAACAGTTAGACGAAGGAACTATGCTCCACCAGGTCACCAAAAAATGGTGGATTTCAACATCACCCCTTGACTGGAGACAGCTATGGTGGTTTACATCACTAACAGTCCTGATTTCCTTTGAATTAAGAGAAAGGAGAAGAAAATGGCAAGGAAAAAGACCCAACTTATGCAAGATTTAGTGGTGACCCAACAGAGAAGAAAAAAAAGGTTTCCATAATGCTATCATCTCAGAGTGCAAACACAACCACCAGAAATTGGACAATTCAGGGCAAATGATTATGGGGGAGAAGTTTTGGGTTTTGAGGGAAACAACAAAATCAAGAGAAGGAAAAAGATGTTATGAGACATTTGGTATCCCCCTCTTAGCAAGCAATGCAATATCTTTGTATATGCATATGACTGAATTTTGAAGGAGGGGCCATTATCTAGAAGCTCTCCACCTGTTAATTCTCAGTGCAAAGATTACATAACTACTACAATTTGTTAATGGGATATCAAATATTATAAAGAAAAAGATGGGAAAGAGTAATACAAATGCTAGTTTATTGTGGGTATGGGACATGCCAGCAGTTAGAGAACAGGGATCTCGTGGTAAAGGTAAACGAAAGTTAGGTTAAAAAGGTGAAAACATCATGATTGCTTCCTTTCATTCAAGTAGTTCCCCTAATTTGACATGAATCAATTCATTTGACATCGTATTCTCTCCCTTTCTACCCATATGTAGCATTACAATGAACATCATTTTAATTTTCTGGTTTAAATGATCAGGGTGCTTTCAGGTTAGTTTATGCACATTTCAAAATTAATTCCTTTTCAAATGATTTTAAAGTTATATTCCCAAATCAATTTTGTGCAGATTTAATACATTTTAGGAAATTAAATCCTTTTAATAATGATCTCAAGACTTGAGTCATAAATTTAATTTTTAAAATGATACATGTTTACTAATAAATCTAAATTTGAAATTACAATGAATATCATTAAAAAACATTGTGTTACATGTCAGTGTATTTTCTTGTCTATATTTAGGTTGTTCTCGCTATTAAGTGTTTGACAGTTAGACCCAAACAGATGCATCTTGTAACTAGTGATAGAGCCATGTACGTTTTCTTCACTCAAGCAATACTAAATGTTAGCCATTGAGGAGACTAATATTTTACTCAAACTATTGCATGCTTTGCCACATATCAAAGCGCAAGCAAAAGAGCCATGAAAGTAATAGCTAAAAGATTAGATTATAATCATGATTATAGGCTAGCAATAATGGCAACTGTACATCATATGAAGCAGCAATAGGAATGAAATTGAGAAGAGAAGAGCATACTTCAAGACAAAGGGGGAATTGATGCCATCTTTATATTACTCCAGAAAACAGGTAGGTAGAAAGTTCTACAGCAAAATTCATACTTTTTTTTTTTTTGGTTGCTTAGATTCATACTTTCTTCAACTGCATTTCTTTCTCAATTGTTTTCATGATTAAAGTTCCCTTAATCAAAATAAAAAACAGAACACTTCAACACTAAGACAAGACACAACACTAAAACCAAGAATCATGACCTAGAAAAGAGCAAAGCAACCCCATGAATTGGAGCGGACAAAGCAAGCTTCTTTATCTACTTTGTTTTCATATTAGTAAAATCTCATTTTTTAACATTTTTAAGAAAGAGGAAAAGAGAAGCTGCCAAGGCAACAGGACACTTCTGACTTGGTATTTCAAATTGAAAACCATAGAGATTAAAAGGTCATCATTTGCATAATTGTGCATAATTTAGTTGAGAAATTTGCATTAGGTATTAGGTATTAGGTAAGGCCTTATGCTGGCAAGGGAAAAAAACGAAAAAGGGGATGGCTATGACTTTGTAGCAAAGGCCTAGAGTAGATTCCTCGTGGGAATTCGAAGCAAGAATTCTATAGTTTATTATTTCCTTTGAAGAATAAAAATAAGAATAATAAGACACTTGAACTCCATCAAGTGGTTCGATGGGTTGCGCTTAATCGAAGGAGGTGGGATATTCATCAGATCTAAAAATCGAATCTCCAGTTACTAACAACTAATAAAACTAACTTACTAATCATTACTCTTATAAAACAATAATAATAATAATAATAATAATAAGACACTTTCCTCTGATTCTGGTTTTCTTAAACTTCATATAACTATCATACCTTCTTATATCTAAACAGAGTCCAATAATTCAGATACTCAAAACATGACCAGATTCATCCACTCCTATCTTTTTCTGTTGAGGAATTTATTTATTTTTTAGATGGTTAAAGTGTTTTTATTAGTTTTTAAGTACTTTAAAATTATTTTTTAAAAATAATTTTAAAAATACATCCCTACTTTAAATATATGCATTCAAAGATATTTACTTATCTTTTGATTTTGATTCATTCATCAAGGAACAAACTTTTTTTTGTTTTGGAGTGATGACATCTTCTTGATTGGGTTAAAAAAAAATTAAGCTATTTATGTATGTGATTAGAAATCAAAATATCACCAAACCACAAAACAAATGCTGAATCGAAATTGAAATATCATCCAACTATTATTTAATTTATTAAGGTCATTGATAATTGTCAAATTTTATCTTAGTTTAATTTAATTATTAAAAGTAATCAATAATTAATAAAATAATTAATTTTTCATATCATATTAATTATTTAAAAAATTTTAAATTAATAAAATTATAAATAAATTAGTGATCTTAACAATTTAAATAATAACAATAACCTAATCCACTAACAATGGACAATGTTATAGCCACACAAAAATACAATAAATATATTTAATTTATCTAATTTTATCAATTTTTAATTATTAAAATACTTTAAAATATTTTAATTTATAA